GATTAGCTAGCTACACATAATCACGGTGCCCAGTTTTCCACCTGATTTTTACCACAATCACCCCCAACCTCCAATCCTTACCTTCACCCCCACCTAAAAATTTGAAGGCATCTAAACGAAGATTACTATGGAGACTTACATAGCTATGAGCAATGATGTCATCTCACAGGCAGAAGGAAACGAAGTCACGGTCAGGTGAGTAAAATGGGTGGCTATGCTGAGCAGCATGGCCATCCAGTGTAGAATATTGGTCAATGGTTGTAACTTGAAATTAGAGAATTGAACTTGAAAATTGATTCTATCACTTACCAGCTGTGTGACATTGGCAAAATTACTTAAATTCTCTAAGCCTCAACTTCTTTTTTTTTTTTTTTGAGACGGAGTCTTGCTCTGTCGCCCTGTCGCCCGGGCTGGAGTGCAGTGGCCGGATCTCGGCTCACTGCAAGCTCCGCCTCCCGGGTACACGCCATTCTCCTGCCTCAGCCTCCCGAGTGGCTGGGACTACAGGCGCCCGCGACCGCGCCCGGCTAGTTTTTTTTTTAGGAGAGTCGGGGTTTCACCGTGTTAGCCAGGATGGTCTCGATCTCCTGACCTTGTGATCTGCCCGTCTCAGCTTCCCAAAATGCTGGGATTACATGCTTGAGCCACCGCGCCCGGCCAGCCTCAACTTCTTTATCCAGAAAATGAGAATGATAATGACAACTAGTGTTGTATAAGAAATAAATGTAAGAATGTATGTGGAATATATAGCATATGGCTTAGTACACTGCGCTCAGTAAAGGATAATGATTCTTATTCATGAATGACAGGTAAAGAAGCAATAAAGCACCAGAGAGTGATGTCATTTTTCCTGTTTGAAAATAAGAATTTTGCTTTTCTTTGGCAAAGTAAGAGTTTTGCCTGTTCTTTATTTCTTTGAAAAGAAAGACTTCGCATTTCTATTGCTTCATCACTTAGACTGAAAGACAACTTCACCATCAAATTCTTTGGTTTGGTTTTTCAAGAGAGACTTCATTTTGAACAGAGCTGCTTAATTACACTGCCAACTTAAAAAAGCAAGTTGTTTCTAAGTTTGGTGGATTTATTGGCATTGTTTTTTCATTCGGATATTTCTCATTGCCAAATCTCACTCTGTCCAAGAAAAAAATAATTCAGCACGCCATACTCTATGTAACCTCTACTTACACTACTTCATAGTAGCTGTAAGATAGAATTTTTTTTTTTTAAGACCTATGTCTTCAGCCAGGAAATATGTGATTAGAACTTAATTGGGAGCTGGCTCTACTAGTTGGAACCTGGCTATCTTTGAACCAGCAGTAAATTACTTATTGAAAGTATCTGTTCAAAGTAGCAAAGTGTTTATTCATATGGAGATAGGTATTAAAAAATGTCTAAGTTGTATATATTTGCTCTAAGTTTTGTTTGCATTCTTCATTAAATAGAAATATGACTTACATAATGTTTGTATCCATATATAGACACATAGCAGAACTAACCAATTCTTAAGGATTAAGTTACACCAATCTAACATTTAGGGAATAAAGCACCTGTTTTCATTATTTGGTAAGACCTCAAAATTTCTAATAAAACAGACAATGTAAATACCATGACACAAATATCAGGTGAAAGGCCTAATGTGAGGGCCAATGAATATGGGAAGGGATCTGGGCCTCATATGGTTTGGAAATCCTCAGAATTTGTCCACAAAAATTACATGTATATCTATGTGTGTAAATGGTCATTTATCTGAACATTTTCATAGTTTCATCAAGGAAGGCACAAAGGATGGTAAGAACCAAGGCATTGGGTGGACCTGATACTTTCATTGCCACCAGTCAATCCTTTAAGGAATAGTTACTGGAGGAAGTATAAGATAAACCTAGAAATGGGCTACCAGCACACATTAGGATGGTTGCACACATGAGCTGGTGGTCTCCTGCTGCCCGTTTCGGAGGTGGATGTGGCTGGCCATAGATGGAGGAAGCAGAATTTGAAAGAAGCAACATGGCAGACCTCCACACCAGATTTCTCAAGCAGTGGGATGGTGAGTGTGGGGTTGTATTTTCCTGTATCAAAGGAGAAAAGTGACAGGAGCATGAGTGTTCTAACGTTTTTATTTCAGCAAAGCAAAGATAAAATCAGGACTTTCTTTGCTCCTGGGCCTGGACCTCTTTTAAGAGTTACTCTCTGGATGGAAGACTCTAGGGATGCTGAAAGCAAGACTCAGAGGCCCCAGGCAAGAGAGCTGGCTAGGGCTGACTAGGGTTAGCTGACTGCTAGCTTGCATAGAGTTGAATTGCAATAAATTCTGTGAGATGCGTCTTATGGTTGCTGTAGGCAGAGTATGTTTCTCTAGAGTGTCCAGTCTAGTTAGCGCTGCGCTTTAAACTTCCCAGCCTGCGCCTCGAATTTTGCTGCTGCAGTAGTAGGACCACATCTTTCTAGCATGGGACAAGGCTCCTCCAGGATTCATTTTTCTTTGGTTCCTCCGTGGCAGCTCACCGCTAGGATCTGGCTTTGTGTCGGCTCACAGAATTCATTTCAGTTCCAGAGTTATTCTCCACTTACTTATTCTCCACTTACTCAGCTTCTGCTGAACGTACACGTGCGTGGAATTGATAAGGGGACCACATTAATTCGCAGTTTTAGTGCCCGATAGTCAAACGGGAGCTTATTTCTACTCAACTAAGTTTTGCTGCGCTTAATCCATCTCCACCATTTCCCTTCCGCTACTGATTCCCTCCCTGCTCCTCCCCTGTCTGCTGAATTTCCCCCAAAACTTGCCGGGAGGTTCCTTCTAGCGCCGCTGGGGACTTCAGAGCTGGCGCTTGGACCTTACCCAGCGGCCCCTATTCCGAAGGAGTGACCCAGGCACAGGCGACTTTACAGGGTCTCTTTCTCTCTTGGGTGTTTCCCACACATGCGCCTCTGTGCAAACACCTGTGTTTTATGTGTTTTAAAGTGAAAAGGGAATACTTGAAATGCGGAAGTCACGTTAAGGAAATTGGGTTCTTCACTGAACTCTGCCAAGATCCGGTCAATACGATGGCGGTGTGTGTTTATGCAGCTCTTTACCCAAGAGGGTAAAATCAAACTCTGCCCACAAGTGGCGGATTCCTCTGGGAGTCTGGGACTCTGCGAAGCAGTGGAGGCATGGCTGGAGAAAGCCACAGGTCCCCAAACCGCTAAAGCCAAAAACCGTGTGGGGAACAAGTTTTGTTTTGTTTTGTTTTGTTTCTCTTCCCATGCTCCTGAGCAGAAATTAAAAGAGGAAAGGTCGCATGGAGCTGGTTACATTCCTGTCGGCCTTCCCCCGCTTCCCATCCGTCTAACAGTTCTCTCTAATCGTTTCCAGTTCTCCTAGGATAACGGGAAAATTGTTTCCTGGCACCCCGCACTCCCACAGGACACACCCGCAGTCGTGCACACTTTTGATCCATCTTGGCCAAGGCCCCCACCTAGCGGTTTAAACTCGCCGGCTTTGCTTCCCTCTCCTATGGTTTCTAAGTGAGCACTGCAGTTTGCAAAAATAATTGTTTATCTAGGTGGATGGGGTGGGAGGATGGGAAGGAGCCCCTAAAATGTGGTGAAAATAAGACTTAAGGTTAGTGGCAAAATGCTAGGTGCTAGGACTGGAGGAGAAAAAGAGAGAAGGCTGTGCTTTTATCCTTAGGATGGCTGCTGCAGCCCAGAACGCATCTAGAGGACGTCCTTGAAGAGCTGCTACCTTAGTTAAAGGAGTACCCTCACTCTCAATGCATGGATGTGTGTGTGTGTGTGTGTGTGTGTGTGTGTGTGTGTTTCTTCATAACACTTAACACTGCAGAAAAGTATAAGTATTAATTATTTACTTGTTCATATAGTTATTGTCTGTCTCTTCTACAATGTAAACTGCTGGAAAAGAGGGTCTGAGTCTACTCCCACTGGCCTCCATACCTCTGGAGCCTACAAAAATACTCAGCATAGAGTAGGCACTCTATTTTTTTGCCTGCCTGCCTGGTTTAGAGAACCGGGAATTAAGGGAACTTGGGTTTCTGCTTTATTGCGTTAGGGAAAAAGCTCTTCTTTCAAAGAATCTTAATTACTCTTCCTCTAAAACTGGGTGGAGGGATCAGATCAGATAACCTTACGTTCTGACACAGAATGATTCTCTTTAAAATATATGTGCGCTTAATCAGATGAGTTCAATTACAATGCAGTTTTTATTAGATACACTCTAGGTGCCAAACATGGATCTAGGCTCTAGGAATTCGTAGTGGGGATCATTTAATCCTTCGAGCTGAAAATACCTTGTCCTTTCCTGGAGCTTTTCTTCACACTTTCTGATTTGCATTTCTACATTTCTACGCTACATTTGTTTCTGTTGAGGTTAGAGGAGAAACTGAGGACAGGGGATCGGTCCCTGGTCATGAGACCTTGGTACTGGTATTGTATGCTGCAGCTTATGGCTGACATCCCCACATACTAGTTGAAGGCAAAGGAGACACACAAGACGGTGCTGTTGATGGTTCCAGTCCTCCCCGCTGCGGTATCCCCCTTTTTTCTTGAATTCTGATGGCCTCCTTTCTAGGTGGGCTGTTGGAAGGAACGTGCTCACTGGCAACTGTTTTCCAGAGGCACTGAAGCACTGAGCAGCTGGAACAGGAGGGTGGAGCAGAAGGTTTAATTTCACGTACAGTTGGCTTCTGTTTGTGATACTTCTACATTTTCTCAGATAGCTTTTTCTTTTTCCCTGTTGACTCACAGTTGAGTGAAAAACACAAATTGCTAAAACTTGATGAAAAAATAGTTTTTATTGTATCAGGAGTTGAGGACGACATGAAGCCAGAGGCTCAAAGTACAAAATGCAAACATTGGGTCCTCTACAGAGATATTACTGATGCCTGCCTCCTAATCTGGGTGTGGCCCTCAGGGCTGGATATGATTTTAGAGCCGAGAGGTCAGAGACCAGGGCTTCTCCGCCTAAAACTGGCCTTCTAGGGTGGGAGTGGTAGGCGGGAGCCTAGGACCAGACTCCTGGACTAAGCCTGGGATCGTGGCTAAGGACGTGGGTCTCACTGGAGGTCAGCGCGGCAAGCTCCGATGTCCGCAGAGGCGAGAACAGGACGCTCTCCTCCCCTGGCCAGAAATGTGGCTCCAGGTTGTCAGGGCTGGGAGGGGGGCCCGGGGTGGGAAGCGGGGAGATAGGGCGGTAGGACCCGGCGGGAGCTTCCTTGGCCAGGAAGGGAACGGGGCGGGGGGAAAAGAGGGAGGGAGAGAGAAAAAGAGAAGGTGATCGCGAGCGGGCGTCAGCGCTCGCCGCGCCGCACGAGTTGCACTGCTCTGGCGGACCGGACCTGGACTCTATATAAGGAGCCCATCTGCTCCGGAGCTCGCTCGCTCCTCCCGGGCTGGCGCACGCCGCGTCCCTCCAGCTTCCCCAGACACCTGCCCCTTCCCCGTGTGCCGCGCCAGGTCCTCCAGACCCGCGCACCCAGTGGCATGGCTCCGAGTGGTTCCCGTGGGACCGAGGTGGCGGTGGTGGCCGCGCGGCCCGAGCAGCCGCAACTCCAGCCCCACTGTCCCCCCTTTTATGGCTCCGTCTCCGCGGGGCCGCTCGTCCGAGTGGCCAGAGAGTGAAAAGAGAGGGAGGGGAGAGCTCCGGAGCGAGGCGCGGCTCAGCGCTGCTCCTAGACTTCACCGCACCCAGCTCTGGCGGCCGCTGCAGCCTCAAAAAAGTGCCCCAGCTTGGGGCGAGGGGCGGGAATGCAAGATCGGGACCTCTCGCTGGCCTGCAAGCCTTGGTTTCCACACCTAGGAAACTCCTGTGGGCAAAGTCTGCAGATCCAAGAGCGTCCAGGTTAGGAGACGCTCAGCCTCAAGCAACGGGGGTAAGCCAGACCCCATTTGGTCAAAGCCTTCTCCTCGAGCAGTACTTCACCCTCCGGCACTAGACGCCTCCAGGGAGCTGGAGCGGAGCAGGGCTCGGCGGGCCAGTTCTCAGCAACCCAGGGCTAAGACCCGGTATGGAGAGGAACAACCACAGGCGCGGCGGCTTTGCCAGGCGCTCTGGAAGTGCAGGGGACGCGCCCGCCTGCCTCGGCTGCCGCGCCCATGACCTCTAGTCTCAGCTGTGAACCTGGGCGGAGGAATAATTGAGGAACTCACGGAACTATCAACTGAGGACAAACCTGCGATCGCCACGGTCCTTCCGCCCTCTCCTTCGTCCGCTCCATGCAAAAGAGCTGCGCTCCGGGGCTGGGGCGAGGAGAAAGAACCATGGAGGAACCGGGTGCCCAGTGCTCTCCACCGCCGCCCGCGGGCTCCGAGACCTGGGCTCCTCAAGCCAACCTCTCCTCTGCTCCCTCCCAAAACTGCAGCACCAAGGGCTATATTTACCAGGACTCCATCGCCCTGCCCTGGAAAGTCCTGCTGGTGATGCTACTGGCGCTCATCACCTTGGCCACCACGCTGTCCAATGCCTTTGTGATTGCCACCGTGTACCGGACCCGGAAGCTGCGCACCCCGGCTAACTACCTGATCGCCTCTCTGGCGGTCACCGACCTGCTCGTGTCCATCCTGGTGATGCCCGTCAGCACCATGTACACTGTCAGCGGCCGCTGGACCCTGGGCCAGGTGGTCTGTGACTTCTGGCTGTCGTCGGACATCACCTGTTGCACTGCCTCCATCCTGCACCTGTGTGTCATCGCCCTGGACCGCTACTGGGCCATCACGGACGCCGTGGAGTACTCAGCCAAAAGGACTCCCAAGAGGGCGGCGGTCATGATCGCGCTGGTGTGGGTCTTCTCCATCTCCATCTCGCTGCCGCCCTTCTTCTGGCGCCAGGCCAAGGCCGAGGAGGAGGTGTCGGACTGCGTGGTGAACACCGACCACATCCTCTACACGGTCTACTCCACGGTGGGTGCGTTCTACTTCCCCACCCTGCTCCTCATCGCCCTCTACGGCCGCATCTACGTGGAAGCCCGCTCCCGGATTTTGAAACAGACGCCCAACAGGACCGGCAAGCGCTTGACCCGAGCCCAGCTGATAACGGACTCCCCCGGGTCCACGTCCTCGGTCACCTCGGTGAACTCGCGGGCTCCCGACGTGCCCAGCGAATCCGGGTCTCCCGTGTACGTGAACCAAGTCAAAGTGCGAGTCTCCGACGCCCTGCTGGAAAGGAAGAAGCTCATGGCCGCTAGGGAGCGCAAAGCCACCAAGACCCTGGGGATCATTCTGGGAGCCTTTATTGTGTGCTGGCTGCCCTTCTTCATCATCTCCCTCGTGCTGCCTATCTGCAAAGACGCCTGCTGGTTCCACCTCGCCATCTTCGACTTCTTCACCTGGCTGGGCTATCTCAACTCCCTCATTAACCCCATCATCTATACCATGTCCAATGAGGACTTTAAACAAGCGTTCCATAAACTGATACGTTTTAAGTGCACGAGTTGACTTGCCAAGTGCAGTGGGGTCGCCTAAGCGACCTTTGGGGACCAAGTTGTGTCTGGTTCCACAGGTAGGTCGAATCTTCTTTCGCGGTTACTGGGTCCCAGCGAGGCTGTCTCTCCTGGGCAAGGGCAATGGATCCTGAGAAGCCAGGATGGTCCTGAGAGAGAGCTCTGAAAGGAGAAGTGTTGAAACTAAACGTAGAGCTTCCCTGCCCAGGAGGAGGCTCACTTCCTCCCCCTCAAGCCTCGGGCTCAGCACTGACCCCTGCGGCAGCCAATCCCAAAGGGGATTGCAACTTTTAAAAATTGATTATGGAAGGGGATCCCTGCCCTGCTTTGGTATCATGGATAATGCCCACTAGAACCAGTGTATTTGTAATTGTTGTCTGAAGCTTGTCTGAGACAGATCTACATACGGCCTGGCAGTACTTGAACTAGACGCTTAATGCCCTGTGTTTTTGGGGAGAACTTTGTGTTACAGCTTAATTTAAGAACAGTTACGTTGGCATCATTCAGTCTTCAGTTTTTGTCTATTTAAACTTGGTTGGAGAAACTTGTGGATTTGGTGCTTCAAACCCTATGTGTGGCTTGGATGGCGCAGAGAAACCCTGAAGAGTTAACAGCAAAATTCTGATGCTGAGATCTCTATTTTTATTATACTTGAAACTATATGGGGGTGGGTGGGTGGGAATGGGAGATGAGAGTGTTAAACTGAGAATCAACACCTATGATTGTTTGTTTTCTGCAGATTTGTAATTTTGTAATTCTTGTTTAGCGATGGTCAAACCACAGCTCTAACAAACAAACCATTATGTGTGCTAGTGCCAAAGTCTGCAGACTGCTTTTTTTCCTCCTAATTTCATGTACCTGTCACTTTACACATTTAAATCCCCATAAATGAAGGGTATGATGGGTGACTCAGCCCACACTGCTGCTATATTTCTTACTAATGCAATTGGTAAAACCGATTAGTATTGGAGATATATTGTTCCTTAACAAGAAAAGTGTCTTTATTTCTTATCCAATTGAGTGAGATGTGAAGGAGACTGATGACATGGGACTAGTTCTTATACAATTGAGGAATGGGGTGGGGGTAATAGAAGGATGTATATTTTGACTTGTAAAAAAATCTTAAAATGCATGAGACTTTTATCTGATAGTCATTTGCACTCTCCTTCCCATCTGTGATTCCTTGTGTGCTAACATATAAGGAAACCAAGAGAACTATCTCCCTTCTCCAGAAACCTTTAAAATACAGTAAGGGCTCTAAAAACGATATTGGAAAGAAAATAAACTTGTTTCTTTTTCCATTGTTGCTGTTATTGAAGTTTGGACAGGAGAAAAGATTGCTAGAAAATGACATACAAGAACTTTAGAAAAGCTTAGTGAAGCTAAAATTGAGGCCTTTTTTTTTTTTTTTTTTTTTTTAACTTGCAGAACCAAACCTCAGACTTACTAAACAATCAGGAAACTGGCAAGATTTTGACCTTTGTATATTCGTTACCAACCTGATATCTCAATGAATGTAATATCTGGAATACTTTAAATTTATCAATCTTTTCAAATTTCAAGAATACTTAGTTATTTCAAATTTCCTCTGAGAGCTCCCTAATACAGGATAAAGTCATGCAATAAAATATGAAAAAAAATGTATATTTTAATAAGAAGTAGCCCTGAGGGATTATCTGCATGAAACAAATGTATATGCACAGCATTTAACATGCCAAAGAAAATTCACACTCCTTTTCTCAGAAGGCATTCTGCAGCTGATACCTTTTGTCTGCAGAAGCAAGTTGTCTTTGTGAAATGGATTCACTCCTTGCTTGAAGCTCCCCAGTCCTGTTTGTCAGACAATAAATGTATTGAACTGAAGCACACTGCTTGCCTACTGTGCAGACCTTCACCTTGGGTAATCACTCTTGAAATATACTATTCAAAGATTCACACATAAGCTAACTAAAAAGGGGAATTTTGATCAATATTTATACCTGTCACTGGTGTGAGAGAAAATTTTAGGCATTAGATATGCCTGTACTTCTGCTGGATCCCCAAGTTTGTTTGTTTGTTTTTTGTGACATTTCTCCTATGGAGGAATGTGCATAGAGCATGGTGTTTGTTTTTATGTTATTAATCCTGTGGTCTTCTGTTTATACAGCTGTATTTTCTTTGGTCCTAAGAGGCAATTAAGTCAACTTCTAAGAGCCTTAGGGGGAAACATTAATTGAAACAAATAGCCACTTACAAATGATTTCTTTATAGGGTACCTGTATTGATGGTGTCCTCACATTAACAAAACACAATCAGTTTAGTTGGATGGGTTGTTTGCCATTTTGTAGATTAACCACCTAAATTATTGCTTGACTATTTGGCTGTATTGCCTGGATTTGGGGCATATTGTATGAAATAGAAGCTTGCAAACCCTTATAGTTATAAGAGATATAGAATCATCATTCAGCATTGCACATGATTATGCAAAGTGTATTATTCATCCCAGGGGTACGTAGTTAAGACTGTTAAACTCCTTTTCAGTTACTGCTGCCTATAGCATAGTTTATTTCATAAACTAGACACATGGCTTTTTTGCAGAACGTAAAGCGGGAGATGGAAATGTTTAACTTACATAGCAATGAAAATATATTTTCATTGGCTATGGTAACAAACAACATTTTCCATATTGTTTAATTGCACAAATTTTCACAGAAATATATGAATGTATACTCATTCAATAATACCAATATTGTCTTGTGTTTCTAGGAATTTTAGCGTTTCCTTTGAAAAATGGACACTACACCTATGAATGAATGTTTATTGAGTTCAACAAATTTTCTAAAGAACAATATTCTTAATTTTTCGTCTCTATTATCTTAGTTTTGTCTTCTTTAACCAGGAAACCCTGAGAAGATTATAATTCACTGAAGCAGTAAAATATCAGATTATGTGTATTTGATGGAGTTGCTGTGACTGAAAATTGCCTTTGATATTCCACCTTTCAGGAAATGTATCATTGGAAATGAAATTTAGGAAAATAAATAAAAGTCCTTTTGTGTTCTAAAAAGTGTCGGGTAGTAGTTCTATTATTATGGAAAAATTGGTTCCTTGGATTCTGGGGTTGTGTTTAGGAGTCTGAGCCTTCACTAGAGAATGATTAATAGTAAATGATACTGTGGCTGACTGATACGTGCTGCCATGACTTGGGGGATTTAGTTTATATCTGAAGGAAGAATTTGAAAGGAAAGAAATGGATTGTGTTTTCGTATTCTGCAAAGAGAGAGGGTTAGATCCACTATCACAAGAGTTTTCCAGATTAGTTTTCAGAGGAGACCTTTAGTCTCTAGGCTAGGCAGTCAGATTCCAAGGGCTGTCTGGTGCTTAAAATACAGAAGGAGGAACTGGGTTAGAAGAAGACTTCAGAGGAGTAGACTGACCTATCTTAAGACCAGTAAAGTAGGCAGAAAGGTAGCTTTTGTAGTCAGTCCTAGGGTTGAATTGCAAATAAAGGATGTTAGAACTATGTGGTTCTTCTTCTCAAATACCATCTACCTACAAGTTGATGTAAAGTCTTAGAACCTATATACGTAAAGCACTTATTGAGATGCGTGACACTTTTTTGACTCTCAGCAGATTGGACTTCCTCTTAGTCATTATTTCCCATTGTCTCCTCTGTGGATGCAGAGTGCCTGTAGCACAGAACAGGGGTGCTTGGGAGAAGTTGGACTGGAGAAGATCAAACTAGCCTGAATGGGAAAAATTTGGCAAAAACTAGAAGTGGCTGAAGTTTACAGCCTTTTACAACTAACCCCCTATGCAGGTGACATACAACCCAAAGAACCAAAGGGAACATGAAGGATGGTTTGCAGTGGCTCTATTGGCCAAGAAGAAATTGCCAAGTATTTACTTATTTCTTACAGCGTCCCTTTATTCACTTTTAAACTCTCTTCCTCTTCCTTGTCTAGAGATTTCTGGCTGTCTTTAGAGAATCCAAAGTCCCTGGCCACATCCACATTTTTAATTTGCAGCACCTCGTTTTTCACTTCTCGGCTTTTTTCTTACCTGTATCAAATCATGATAACCAATAATGATGTCTGTGGTTCTTGTTTTAGCTGTGAAGGGCTGATTAGGTAACTAAGGGTTTTCACATTATATAAAAGGGAATTGTTGAACCAAACGAATGTGTAATTGGTGGGGATAAAAGCTTTCAACTGGGGCGTCTACTCGAGTCCTCTAAAGGAAAGAGGTTGGTAGAGGAAGGGTGGGAGAAGGGAAGCCTGCACTGTTCATCGAAACCCACCCTGGAACAGTCCACCAGGGGGCAGAGTGTCTCTGAGATGTTTAGCAGAAGCAGGCACAGATCATTCAGGATCTCTAAATCCATCTTCCAGGACATTTTGCAACTGATATTAACGCCTCTAGACTCAGTGAAAACAAAGTTCCATGAGCCAAGGGAGAGGAGGTTTATCGCTGATTAGAAATAGCAGATTTTGCAGAGCTGTAAATTCAGGCAGAGGATCCCCAAATCAAACCTAAAGTTTTTCTCCATATGTGCAAACTCAGTTTTTAAAATTCATCTCTACTCCTGATATAATACTAAAATCTTAGCATTTAAAAACATTGTGACCTTTTATTAATGTGGCACTGAGCGAATCAGAGGTTAGGAGACAATATACCTATTTCAAAATAAAGGGAGCTAATCAGTTACTTAAACATGTTTAACCATTATGATTTTTCTCATCGCTGTGTTTTTCTTTTCAAATTTTTTTTTGGTTTGAGGTTGATATATCCATGGTTCAAAGGTAGAACACTTGCTGTTTATGATTGAAAGCGATGTCTTTTTTTTTTTTTTTTTTTTGCACAGAAGTAAGGTTTATTTATATGTTGGTTTTTCTCAAAAGACAGACCCTGAAGTCTGTGTAATTTTGGCATTTTAAGAACAGGCATATAGAAATGTGAGTACAATCTAATGTTTCACAAAAATAAATTTCAGCATCAGAAAATGGATCACATAAAACGAGAAAACGGGTGAGATTATATCATTGCCATTCTCCTATAACGTAACTGTTACTCTAGCATT